CATCTTTGAAAAGCAGAAGTGGAGCCTCCTGCACAACCAGTAAGAATGCAGCAAGAGGTTTCTGGAAGGTAAGACAACAACAAAACACTGGTTGTTCAGCATAAAACCAGCTGACCAAACATGCTGGAGCTCAGCTTGGGTTTCTAAATAACGAGTTATAATCAGGTGTGGTTGCTAGGTAACTGCATAGTGCCTGCTACTTTGCTATGTAACATTACAGAGGTTTTTGAAATGGCTCATTTTCCAGACACCAAAATCACATTAACTTACTCCCTAACAATGTGCAGCATGTGTGTTTTAATTTTTTTAAAACCAAAATGGAAGAATAAAAACATGCAAAATGTGAATTTCTACCTTGACCAGAGGGATGCCTCCTTTAACCTTCGTCCAGCTGTCTTCGTCTCCCTCCCCCTCCCCCTCCTGCAGATCCCCAGCTCGCTCTTTCTTCTGCTTCTTCTTCTTCTCGCCCTTCTTAATGCTGGCTTTGTCGGCACCGGCCACCCTGAGGTCGGTAAACATCCCTTTTAGTTTGGCTGCAGAGCGATTTGGGCCGGTCGACCGTCGGACTCCAGACTTACTTCTTGAGGAAAACGGTGGCCAGAGATTTGCTCTTCCCTTCCTCGTCATCCGAGCTCTCGCTGCCGCTCTCCTCGGTGTCTCCGCTCCAGTCTTCATCGTCATCGTCTTCATCACTAGAAGTCGACTCATCCTGTTGGAACATTTGCAGTTTGTTTGTACACTTTTCTCAAAGAAAATTCAAGAACTTTTCAAACCTTTTCAAACTTTTTTACTTTGGAGATAAAAGCAATACAAAAAAAAAAAAAAAAAAACTAAACTATTTCAATTCATTATTATTTAATTTATTGCAGCTCTTCATAATGTCATGATAGTATTCTACGTTCTAGGTAAACTAAAATAGATTTTATGTTTTGAAATGTGTCTCACACTTTACTGGTTTGAGAACAAAACATTAATTAAAAAAAGGCCCAATTTTAATATTTATTAACATATAAATAAATTATTATCTAACCTTTATTTCAAAAGATAATTAAGTCATTAGGAATAATAAATACTAATTACATTGAAATAACCCAAACAGATCATATTAAGCTAATTAATAACAGAAATATATAAAGACAGTTATAATCTCTAAAAAATGTTCTTGGTAACTTTACTGGAATTTAGCAAACAGAAATAATTTTGGTAATTCTAACTGACCTAAAACAACAAAAGTTTAGTTTGATTCAACTTCAGACAGAAAATATATCTGGTTTCAACTGTAAATTACATTTTTCATATTTAAGCTTTTAATCAAACCTGAGATTGATTTTACTGCCAAACTGTCCAGTTTGAATATCAAGAACTTTCAAGAACTTTGTACAGAAATCCACCTCGGAAACACCAGATTAAAATCCAAACATTTCCAAGGATTTGAGGTGGTCAAACAACTCGATGCGTCTCACCCCAGAGCCCTTGGCAGACTTGAGGAATTTGCTCGCTTCCGAAGGGCCTTCGGGTTTTTTCTTCAGGAAAGATTTTGCCGACACTTCATCCCCGGCGTCGTCATCGTCGCTCTCAGACGAGGAGCCTGGGAAAAAAAAAAAAAAAAAAAAAAAAAAAAAAGAGTTTTTGAGAAGATCTTAACACTTGTAATTATGCCTGACATGATGACAAATTTTGCTGGATGCAGAAATGATAAATGATAACATTTATCAAACTGATAAATGACTGTTATTATTTATCAGTTTTGAGACCAGTTTCAAGTAATATAATAGTATAATAATGCAAGAACACATTCTCAAAGACCAATAATATTAAATTCTAGTGAATGTTTGACACTGGAACTGGAAGACATTTTAAATATCCAATAAAAATAAAGAATATAACAAATAAAATGAATCATGAAGTCTCTGTAAACTAAACTGTCCTTCAATAAAAAGGCTTGTTGAGACCAAAACACCAGACTGAAAACTTTTGCCATCCAGTTTTAGGTGAGGAAAAAAACAAAAAAATATTTAGTTAATTTTAATTAATTGATTTATTGCGACAGGCTTATCTAAAAACCTTAAAAGTGCAAATATTTTTCCCTACAAATCGAATAAAATTGAGAAAATCTGCAGCTTTTCCACAATCTTGGTCATTTCTTGAAAACGTGACAGAAACATTTACCAGAATCCTCCTGCTCCTTCTCCTCCTCTTCATCTGCAGACTCCTGTGGGTTCTGAACAGTGAAAGAAATATTTTTATTCCTGTTCAGTTGTTTCTTTTTTTTTTTTTTACCCCAACCATTGATGTTTTAATTTCCACCGTACCTCCTTGTAAGCAGCGATTTCAGTTTCAAAGTCTCTGTTGTATTTGCGGATCTTCTGGCGCAGGGTGCTCAGGGCCTTCGCGTTGTTTTTGTTCATCTTCTTCTTGCCCTCTTTGTCCTCCCAGAGCTTCAAGGAAGAGAAGAAACGTTTATTTAGTAAAAGAAACGTCCAACTGTGGTTTGGTATTAACGGAGGCAGCCGACCTGGTTGAGGTAGTCCTCCAGGTCAGCCAGCAGGCGGATGTAGAATTGAGGAACTCCTTCTTTGTCCACTATGTTCTTGCTCTTCAGGAAGGCTCGACACAGCTGCTCAAACTCCTCCAGACATTTGGACATGTCACGGATCTTCATGGCGTTACGGATCGTCTTTATGAAGTTGGTTAACTCTTCAAACCTGAAATTTAAATGGAAATTATTATTTCTGATGAGCTTAGTGGATGACTTCTGCCATTTTGAGGCTGTTTAAAAAGCACAGCACACCCACCTTTTGTCTTTGGCGCTACGCACCACTCGTTTGGTATCCTCCTCATCGTCACTAAGAAGCAGTGACCTGAAAAAGAAGCATTATTGTGTGAGACCTCAACAGGTGGATTTGATGCAATGACAAATCGGAGAGATGCACTGACTGCTTGAAGGTCGTCCCGGGCGCTTTAGGGGTGATCTCATCGGCGGATGACGATTCCTCTGACTCGCTGTCAGACCCGGTGGCGAAGAAACGAGACATTGCTAAAGGGAGCTGTCAATCTGAAATGATATGCATAACACAGCAGAGAGGTCAGTCGACGTACTGAACAGTCAATATCTATATTTTCAAGTAATATAATGGAGGAACACATTCTCAAAGATCAGTAAACTTTTAATTCTAATGAATGTTTAACACCGGACCTGGATGACATTTAAAATATCCAGAATAAACAAACAAAACAACAAATAAAATTAATTATGAAAAAATGGAAAAAGGACCTCCACTCCACAGAAAACAAGCAAAACATACTATCAAAAGAAAAGCGTTAAATTATTCATTCAACCTTATTTATATTTCTTCTGATACTTGCTAAAAATTACAAATAACAAGTGAACATCCTCTGCTGGAAAACTGCAACATTGATGACTGAATTTTTCAAATTTATATGGGTGTGAGTTATTCTTTAATCAGAACAAAATAGGAGGATTTTTGCTTCTTTTATAACTTTAAAAAGTAATCCAAACTATGCAGTGAATCAGTAAAGTGGTAGTCAAACTGTAAAATGAAGTTTTTATTTTAAATATCATTAACATAAGCGTTTTAATACCATGATACCAAACAGCAACCTGACTCAAATAAAACATCTCAGACTGAACCATTCAGGCGTTAAAAACAACTAATCTTACCGTTAGCAACTTTATCAAGCCTTTCAGTAACCAACTAGCTTTAGTTTGAAACTTAATTTTTATGTCCGTTATGCAGCCTGGCTTTATTGCCATAAATCGTCTTTTGATAAATGTTACATCATTAATTTGTAGAATAAATTGCGTTTCCAGTCGTCTGAGGCAGGAGCTACATTAGCAGTTAGCAACTAGCTAGCTACATGCTAACTGCCAGTAATGCAACGTAGACTTTAACATATGGAGCTAATTTAGCCAAATGTAGATTGTATTTTCACTTAAGATGTACACATTATCACAAACAACATCTTGTAAATGAATTCCACAATTAAATACCAAGCAAAGAGCATTTTTAATTATGCTGAATGCTCGCCGTTATTGTGGCGCGGCTAGCAAGCTAATGCTATCAGACTACGGTGAAAATATTAGGCCTTGCGATTCTCCAGTGAATTTACAGCATCCTTTCAAGCTAGCAAAATACACGACTGTTATTGCATTCGCGACCGAACGTACTTATGTCGTTTTGAAGATGTTGATATAGTGTGTTTGTTCTCGTTGAAAGGTAAAAAAATCCAGGTTTGCTGAAGTAGGGCCACGGAAAACGTGTGCGGCAACCTCGCCGGGTGCTTCGCGTCAGGAAAAGGGAGCTTACTGTAGATCTACACAACATTGGGATGGGGCAACTGCAGATCTACATTCTCACCGACAGTGGGTTTTCTGGGTTATACTGCCACCAAGCGGCAAACGATTTTATTAGTTTAGCAAACAATAGTAAAACACGCCAAGATGTAATCTCCACAATCAACAGTTTGGAACCAGTTACATTTACTTGAGTAACTTTTTTGGGAAACTTTACTTTTAGGGATATTATTACTTTGACTTGGGTAATTTTATTATAAGGTATCAATACTGTTTACCCTACAGAATCTGTAACTCTACAGAATGACAAACAAGTTTGTTTTAACCATAATGTCACCTGACACAAACGCACACCTTCAGCTAGTTTTTAAAGTTTGATATAAAGATATTTATTTTTCCAGATTTTTATTTTGTAATTAATATGAATTATCCAAATGTTCACATTTTGGTCTGTCAATTATGTAATTTCTCAATATTAAACAGTTGTTTAATCAGTTATTTGAGTAGCTTTTAACCTAATACTTTTGAGTAATTTCTTTTACAGCTACTTTTTACTTTTGAGTAAAAATATGTTGGATGTAGTGCTACTCTTACTTTAAAGCAATTTTTGGGGGCTTCTCCATTCAAGGTCACTGTAATAATCTGCATGTAAATGGGTGATAAGCAAAGAGAATCTGAGTTCAGCTTAATGGCAAAGGAGTTGAATTTAGTTTATTTGCATAGAACAAAAAAATACAAAAGTGGTTTCTTCCATCTTGTAAACACATGTAGCTTTTATACATTCCTGTCTTTCATTCATCAGAGCCAACATGGCAGCCATTTTGAAAGGTTTAGTTAATCCGACCTACGGATATTTTCACAGCCATTTGGTTGATGCAGTAAAACAGTCGATTCACCACAGGATAACAACGTTCTTCATGATTCATTTCCAGCTGTTTCTGAGCTTATATCAAGACGAATGAAGGTGATTTTACCACAGATACAGTATCAGAGTGAATACATAATTGTTGGTTTAAAAGTCACGAGCATCTCTTGGTGTAGTGAAAGAAATAGTATTAAAAAAAAATCAGCAGTATCAAAGCAACAAGAGTAGAAAGCAGCATCAACATGATGAAAAAGGTAATAGCAGCAGAGTGAAATTATTTAAAAAAATAATGTCAATATTCAGGTCATTTCCATACATTTTATTTCTAAGGTAGATTTTTGCTATAAATTATATTACTGATCGAAATTAGTTAGGACTAAATTTTCAATTGTTAATATATTGTAGAGCTGGAAAATCCAACAAAATTTTGAAGAATGAAACTATATATTTAACAAATTTTTTTAAAGTGAATTGCTTATTTGAAAGTATTTTTAAACAAAAAATATTTAGTGCAGATTAAATATTAGTGGTCTTTGTTCAAGTGTTTATATTTAAGTGTTTATATTTACAGTTTTTAAAACACAATCGGTCACTTCCTGACAATGAGTCATTACAGTCAGAGTGAGCTTTCAAGGGTCCCGGTTTGCTAGGTCCCAAATTCTTTCTTTAAATTGAATTTAACCATCATAAAAACATATGTGAAATGTAACATATTAAACATTATTTCAAACATTCATGCTGTAATCCTCTTCCTGGGTTTCTCAGGACAGCAAAGAGTGAAAACAGAACAACAGTTTCATAAAAGGCACCATCAATATCTGGCGTTTCATTTCTCATCACAGCTCAGCGCCCTCTGGTGGAGCAATACGTAAACACTGGAAGATTCTGACTGAGCTGATCACAATTTAAGTGATTCTGGTTTCTGCTTCAAACATCTGAACTCATCTATGAATCCAGAGGAAAATAACAGTGGTGTGTTTTTTTATAGTGGTTGTGGCACATTTCTTCATATGCAGAACTTTGATTTATGTAACATATTACCTATACCTAATCATGCACGCATGTTTGGAGCATAAATATGCATTTAGTATTTTTATATTGTATACATTTTTATAGACTTCAGATTTGCTACCTCCTAAGTGCTGATTTAAGGCACCGAAAATAGAGATGGAATAGAAACGTGTTTTTAGTGAGACAAAGCGTAAAGCTGCTTAGCGCAGAGCTCCAGACGATCCCGGTACTCCAGTTTGGAGTAGTTGCATTTAGGAACCCCTTTGGTGCCGTAGAGAAGACCCCAGCAGCAGCAGGCGATCACTGCCGTGCTGTCGTTGTCACCTGGACAAAACCACAACGGTGTAAAAACAAATTGAAATCACCCTTATGTCTTCATATGAAATAATGTAAAAATCTGACGGTGTTAGAGGCAGAAACATGCATGTACACAAAAGAGATATTTCTTTTTTTTTTAATAACATGTTTTTCTCCAAAGAGTTTTTGCGGTGGCTCGTATTTTAGGCAGACAGGAAAGAGGGCGAGGAGAGGGGGGAAGACATGCGGCAAGGGTCGCCGGGACCGGGAGTTGAACCCGCAACGTCCGCATCGAGGACTGAAGCCTCCAAACGTGGGGCGAGCTAACCCCCTGCGCCACCACAGCACAACCCAAGGAGACATTTCTTGTTTGAACCACTGACCTCCATGGAAAGCAGCTCTGTTCATCAGCTCCTCCCAGTCTGAACCGGCTCCCAGTAAGGCATCCAGTGCTATCATGGGAGCATCATGGCCACAGGATCCCCCCCAGCCACGCAGACTGAAGCTCTTATAGGCCTCATCCCTCTCAGCCACACCGTAGGGGTCAGGCCAGGTCACCGGCCCCTTTCCGTCAGAGATTCCCCGCAGATCCAGGTACCTGAGGTCAGAGGGAAAAGCTCAACCCAATTAAGAATCAATTATATTCAAACTTGGGATGCAAATTATGGATTAATGAATTAATCTGAAATGGATTATTCTCATTTACTTCATCAGCAGCCACTTTTTCTTGTAGTGTTTTCTCTAGTACCAAGTTCAACCATTTTTCCATAACATGATTGGCTCAATTTTACATAATATACAGATTTTTTTTGTTTTGTTTAGTATATTCCTTTCTTTTATTCCATTCTGACCAAATAAACAAAAAAATATTAAATTTAAACATAATTATAAAACTTAACAGAACAGGAACCTCTTAGGTTCCTGAATAGAAAAATAAAAATGTTAAAAGAATAAAATATTTGAAACATTTATTGCCCCATAAAGTGAGACATTTAATGACTTTTTCAATCAATTTGTCTGCGTCGCACCTTAAACTTTTTTTATGCCTTTGCAGCAAAATAAGCGGCGTTAAGGTGAAACTTGAGAAGTTTGTCCGGTATTTATATTTCAAATCAACTTAAGGAGCCTGTCAAGAGTTTATATTTCAGAAAAGAGCTAAATGAAGTGCATTTTACATCCCACACCGGACTTTGTTTGGACCGTTTCTCTACTGTCCTAGTATTCCTCCGCCATCTTTTACCAGCTAGCTCCCCTTAAGGATGACCTGTGGCGCCCTCTATTGGACATTATTAGTTGAATGGAACAACAGCACAACCTCACAATAGAAAACTGAATTCAGCAGCTCGTACCTCTTCCAGTGCTTAGAGAAAGAATCCCACTCCTTCAAATTCTCCTCCACAGCGAAGCCGCTGTCTGTAATAACCTTCTTGGCTATGGGGCAGGCCTCTTCCAGCAGACCCACGCCCCAGGATTCAAGCGGCCGCCGCTGGATGGCGTAGGAGGCGAAAAGCGCCGACGCAACGGATCCCAGGAAACCGATTGGGTGATGGTGAGTCATCCTGCCCGTCTCCACGGCCACAAACACCAGAGAAGACAGCTGGTCGGGGTTTGGATACCTGGATTGTAAAATGAGGCAGAATCAGGGTTTATTGGTGAAGGAAGTGAACCTAAAAACATTTTGAAGTGGCTGCAGTGCGACTTCAAAAACGACAGAAACGCTAATTTCTACACTTTTTCCACAGTAAAATTCAAGCATTTTCAAGGTGAGTTTTAAGACTTTTCCAGCAGCATTTTGAAGATAAAAAAAAAAAAAAAAAGTGAACCAAAAAAAATACAGATTTAATTCACGGTTGTTAATAATGTCTTGTGATACTATGGACATTCTACAGCAGGGAAAAGGTCGACTAAAATATAACTAAACACTTTACTGGTCTGAGAACAAAACACTAATTTAATGTAAAAACATCCAGCAACTTCAATAATGTTGTTTAACATATAAATATAAGCCAACCTTTATTTCAATTAGCTCAATAAGTCATAGTAGGAATAACTACATCAAAGAATCCCAACAGATTGTGTTTAAGTAAATGACAACATACAAAGAAATCTGAAAATAAAAAAAATGTTCTCACTACATTTTCTACATTTAGCAAATAGAAAAAAATATTTGGAAATTCAAAATAAATAAAACAAGAAAGGTCTAATTTAATTTTACACACAGAGACATTTTTTTTGTCTTTTTATTAGGAGTATGAACATTTCTGGTCTTTTAAACAAACATTGGTTTGCACTTTATACATTTATACAGGTTGAATATCGAACACTTTCAAAGACTTTAAACAGAAAAACACCTAACACAAATCAGAGCCTTTTCAGGGATGGAAAATCACTTTTCTTGCACAATTCTGCTTCAATTCTGGCATAAAACCTTAAATATTTTGTCAAAACCAGACATCCACTTGCCTAATTATCCCACATTGGAAGACTTTAGACACCAAACTCTTCAGAGATTACTAATCCCAGAGATTAGTCTTACCTCATGCCGATGCACATGGCCCTCATGGCCGCTCCACAGCCGGCACCCCGGTTGTTATATGGCACTCTGTAGCCCCCTTCCTGTCCAGGCTTCAGTCTGGTAACATCTAAGAGTACATTCAGTTCTAAATATCCCGACTACAAGAGGACATGATGTCATTTCATAATTAAAACCTACTAAAAACAGTGGTATTTCCAGGAGCCCTTCCACTCATGTCTTTCATCCCCTTCACATAACAAAAAGCCGCTTCATCCAGAAGCTTCTCGTCAGTCTTTCCTGCAAGAAATACAAACATTTGCTCAATTTGAAATCAGTATAGGTGACCTATTATGCTACGCAAAACATGTTCACTACATTTTTTTACACAAAATCGTTTGTAGATAATTCGATTTTAGTTTCCTCACTTCTGCCTATTTTAAGTTCCTGATCTAATGCCTGATGTTGGCCACGCTGCCAAACGAAAGGTTTTTACATTCGCATTTGAAAATGGCTGCAAACAGATGTGTAACCATAGAACTTTAGATCCTTGAAAAGCAGAAGTAGAGCCACCTACACAACCAACAAGAATGCAGCAAGTGGTTTCTACATGATAAGCCGACAACAAAACAATAGTCTTTTCCATCAGCCATTCAGCGGTAAAATCAGCTGATCAAATGTGCTGGAGCTCAGTTCGGGTTGCTAGGTGACGACCGGAACTCTGTGGGGGTTGCTAGGTGACAACCAGAACTCTGTGGGGGTTGCTAGGTGACGACCGGAACTCTGTGGGGGTTGCTAGGTGACGACCGGAACTCTGTGGGGGTTGCTAGGTGACGACCGGAACTCTGTGGGGGTTGCTAGGTGACGGAAATCAAATGACATTCCATTCGGGAAATTCCTGAAGCGACTCATTTTCCAGACACCAAAAACATGAACTTATTTTTTAAACTATAAACACATGCAACAGGTGAATTTTGCATAATAGGTTCCCTTTAAAAATATTTAATTATCTGCACACAAAGTCAACATTATCAGAGAAAAGGTTAAGTTCAGTTTCCAGTATCCATTGTTCTGTTAAGCAGAGTGCTAATAGGGCAAAAAAATCTAATCCAGGCAAAGGTTAAATTACATTTAGCTGAAGATCTAGAAGAAGAAAGGGTTTTCTGATGACCCACCTGTTATCAGAGCTTCTGCTGTTGCAAGGTGCAGGACTGTGTCGTCGCTCACCGGCCAATCAGGAAGCTGGACAGTGATTTTTTTCAACCCACCCAGCCCCTGCAGCTCCTAAAGATGAGAAAAATAACCAGAAGAACCTGTCATCAACTTCCTGAAGTATTTTCTGATTCACTTGGCACAAATCCAAATGAAACTTTATGTATTTTTCTGAGTTTTCCAGGTTTACATTAAGTGCGGATGTAAAGGTTTCTGTTTTGGGAACCTCTGTACTTTTCCTAAGTCAAACTCTGATCATCCTCTTCATGAGTCTGTCTTGGAAGAGCACAACGTCTTCAGTCAGAAGCTTTTTCAGACTCGGTGTAGCACAGACCACTGCAGGATAACTCTTTGAAGAACCTAAATTAATGAGTTACAGCATTTTATTTCCTTTCGGGGTCAATAAAGTATTTTTGAAGTTTTTTTCTAGAAAAGTTCTGAAATTAATCTGAACATTTAGAGTATTTCAAGCAAATTTTTGACTTTTGGAGTTCAGAAGTTTCTCTTTTAAGAAACTAATTTCTGAAAAGAATCCCAGAAGTTTTAGGTTTTGGTGGAGATTTACTCTTTTTCCTTTTATACATTGACCCTAATAGACCGTTGGTCCTCAAAATCAACCCTTTCCTCTATCATGCTACACGTTTTCTGCATCCTCCTCTTTTCTGTCGTTACATCCTCGTAGCTCATCAGTAATTTATGAACTTGGCATTACTTCCTCATGCAGATCGACTGAATGAGGCTTTAATGTGGTTATTTAAGGAGTTTGTCTGTGTTTATATTTAAAAAAGGAACCGCATAAAGCATAAATTCCTTCCCAAACCAAACTCACTCCATCTTTGATTCTGCATCAATGGCTCCGCTCAATTAAGGATGGCAGACAAACTACAACACTAAAAGCAGACGTAAAAGGACTTTAACCTAAAAAAAAAGGGGGAATTAATCCACAATTAACATAGAGTTGATTAATTGTTTGCATCCGTACCTAAAAGTATTAGGCTGCTGGTTATAATGGTCCATAAGTACCTAGTCCCGGGTTCTTAAAGGTTTTAAGAGCACTGACCTGGTGGATCTCTGGTCCAGAATAATTAAACTCCCAGATCCCGCCCCTGTAACCCAGAGCATCGCCTGCACCACTGAGGACCATGGCTGCCTCGTAATGCTCCACTGTAGCAGCTTCAAGCCTGCAGACACAGAAAGATTAAACACTCCAGGTTATATTTCAGGTGGGTTGCTGGACCATAAATTTGATACGTGACACGAGAGGAGCACAATTATTCAGGACTGTCTCTCGTTTTATTTACAGATTCGTGCTAACAGACTATGATTTATAAAAGCTTTAATTGATTTGTGATTGTTCAATAAAGCTCAATAAAGGGCAATTCCCAAATCGGAAACCAACTTCAGGGTCGTTAATTCCTCAAAATTATCCTTATAAAAACAAACTTTATTTTGTCTATTTAAAATTAACTATAATTCCAAAGACAGAGGGTTAGATGAACCTGCAAAGTCAATCGACAACAGTAGATATCAAACAAGTTGTCCTTGAGAAAAGGCACCAATACTTTTGCTTATTTTCACCAAAGTGAAAATAAAAAGTTTTATTTTTTTATTTTTAAATTACTTTTTAATTTTGAAGATAATCAAAATTAAAAAGTAAAAGTTAGAAAGACACTGCTTTTTCCTGATTTAGAAATAGTGTCTTCAGACAGAAAAAAAAATTAAATTTACTTGCAAATTGTCATTTTATTGAAATAAATTACATTTATTTGAAAAATGCAAATACCATAATTGTGAAACAACTAAATGGCATTAGTACATAAATGTAAATAGTCCCACTGTGTTCCCAGACACAGTGGGACTATAAATACTTACTTTTGTTGACATTTTGTTGTCTATCTGGGTTCGTTGACGTTTTTAAAGTGAATTTATTCAATATTTTCTGCTTTTCCAGCTCAGGATTTTAAATAAATCTGCAACAAGACACCATGATGGCGTTTCCTATGAATATATTGTTTAAAAAAAGAATAAATCAAGCATCTTGATGTCGCAACTGTTTCACTCTTTAGACCAGGAGGCCTTCAAACCAGCCATATTGTATTTAATCCACCTAAAATCATTTTAAAAAGGTTGGATTTTTCTTTAGATCACGTTTTATTTATTATATGTATTGTTGCTCGACGCAGGGGGAGTTAAACTTTCAAGAACAAAAAGCAAATAAACACAAAAGCATTTACTATGAGGTCATAATTCCTCTCGACTGTGAAACTCTTACCTGTCCATTGCAGAAAACACTTCCTGAAAATGAAACTAAGACCCAGCGTTTCCTTCTTCTTTCCTCGAGTTTCTTCTTCGCGGAGTTATATTTTGGTAGATGACAACGAAGTGGCGCATTACCGCCACCAACTGGTTAGGAGGACGGACAACAATGATGCTCGTACCAAATAAATGAAATAAAAAGAATACAAAATAAAAAGCAACCTTCATATTATTTAATGCAAATACATTCGATTTAGAAACTAAAATTCAATAAAAAAAATTAAAAAACATGATCTATCATATTAAGAGTTTAAGAAAACTTAATTTAAGTACCGATTCATTTTTAAAGAAGTTCAAATATGAATTAGATGCTTTTGAAATCGGCAAGACAACTCAAATAAAAATAAAAAAAATCAACTATTTTTAACATCCCATATTTTTGATTTATACATACGCTATGTCTAGAAAAATAAATAATTTAGACTTAGTTTATACGATTCCAGTGATGGAAACGTGATGTAAATAAGAAAATGTTAATGATTTATCCTTAATCATTAAAAAAAAAAAGAAAAAAAAAATCAAACAAGAACTTTCAAACCTGAAAACAATGCTCTTTATTTTTAAATTAGCCATTTTTAATTTCTATAAGTACAGAAAGGTCTGAGTTGGCCTAATACTGCAAGTATGTATTGTTCTTTCCTATGAAGTCAACACTTTAGTGTTCATAATACATGGAAGATTATCTTGAGTTCTCAAAACAAAGATCAGCACAATGTTATGGATAAATATTCAATTTGATAAGGAAAAGTTGCAGATGCATACTTCACTTACAAGAAAAAATTAAGACATTGTAAATCCTTTAACTGTTTAAAAAACAGACATCATGTCCTTCAGTTAATCATAGAAATTTATTCTTGTTTATTTTATAAATTCACATTTAATCAAAAGCAACAAGAAGTTGAAAAACTTTCGTTATTTTTTTAAAATTATGGAAATCTTCAGCCGTTCAGTGGTATTTTATGCTTGCGAAGCACTGTAGGGAAAAAACAGAAGAAATCCCTGAATGAATAAACATTTAAAACAAATGAGTATTTAAGATAGTTGATTAACTTACGAAAATGTTTTTGATCTCCAACAGGGTTAACATAAAATGCAGAGTAAAATAACTTGTTACCTTCTTTTAACCTTTCTATTTCTTGCGACAGATGTTCACATTTGGTACAACCTGGAGTCAAGAGAAAGGAAACAAATAAAAAAATGTCTTTCTGTCAGAAAATCCCTCACATTAATGAATTCGGAGTAGTGATTTAGTAGAGGATGCTGATAATTTGATTTTTAGGAAAGTTCACAATTTCCACTCATTCTTAAAATTAGTTACATTTTCCACAATCAACTTTGCAGAGTTCTCAGAATATTGCAGTCGACGTGCGATGAATGTCAATAGATCAGACGTCTGATGGAACTCTGCTCTTGTTTTTACCTCATTTTAATAGCTACCGTATTTTCCAGAGTATAAGTCACATTTTTGAGGAAAATTTATTTGATAAAATCCAACACCAAGAACAGACATGTTATCTTGAAAGGCAATTAAAATAGAATAAAGGCAACAACAGGTATGCTAACGTTATATGTTAGCATAACGTGTTAAGAGGTATTCAGATAACTATAGCATAAATAACAAGCTAACAAGTTTACCAAACCATCCATGTCACTCCAAATAACTAAATCGATTGTCTGGTTTTATTTTACAGTGTTTGCTTCACCATCACCAGCTGACATTAAGAAACTGAAATGAAATCCAAACAGAAATGTTCACATTCTTAACATGGAGTGAACATGTGACAATGAATCAGGAGTTATCCATAAATAAATAAAACCATATCTTGGTCATTTTACCCTGGCTTTGTGGTTTAACATGGTTAGCTCTGGGATTGGCTGCCGGCGGCTTTAAGCCCCTCCCCCTACTGGTGACATCATGTGATGCTGCAGTTTTTGCAGATGCAGCATCTGAAAGTTGGCGAAGAGAAACACGTGAGAAACAGCTCAGATTATTAAATCTATTGTATGTTGCTGCTTGTTATCATCAGAACCAAGTTACCAGTTCTGGAGGATTTATCAGGGGCAGCAGATCTGTGGCCGGCTGTGGGCTGTTTTCCCATCTTTACCCCGCTCGTGGCGTCGCCGACGGCTACAGGAGCTTCAGTTGTGTTGGTATCTAAAAGGATTCGTGAGAATAACTTTTACTCGTTTATCAGCTTCAGTTCTTCAGCAAGAATGTGGAAATTAGTTTCCCCAACAACTGTAATCAAGATTTGTGAATACAAGATTTAATTTGGTTTTTTTGCGGTTTCTTTGCGCCATAAATCTGCAACAAACTTCCGGAAAATTGTAAAACAGCCGAAACACTGACTTCCTCTAAATCCAGACTGAAACAGTAAGAATAAATGTTACTTATTGTTGTACTAACAAAGTAGTTTAATGCACTTTAAAAATAGGAATAACTTTTTATTTGTTAAAGATGACGCAACACATTTTTATCTAGATTTGTGTAAAACACCAGGTGTGGCACTTTTACACAACATTTGCATAAATATCACAACATCCTGCAGCTTTGCTTCCATATTTACCCGTTTTCTTCCTCTTTGACACAGGAAAAACGTCTCCTTTAGCCAAAGGATGCCTCTTTCCTGGTGCCATCTTAGTGAGGGAGTTAGCGGCTAAACGAGGAATAAACAGACTAATTAGACAGGAAAGAAACTTCAACAGTGAGTTCAGTGTTTCATGTGTATTCAGAGAGCTTGCTGAAACGATTAATTGGATTAATCAGATACTGAAATAATTGGAGTTTAAACCCCCCATAAAAAAACTAATAGCTGAAAAAAAAGCACAAAACAAGCATAGTAATTAAGCCAAAAGGGTAAAAAACAAATACATTTTGCATAATAGTGTAAAAACATCTTTGTTTGTCAAAATCCTTAACCCAAAACTCATCAGGTTGGACAGTTTCAGCTTCATCTGGCTCAAATTCACCAAAGGAGCATTTTATATTATTGTATTTTAGGCAATAAATGTCCACTTTATTCCTAAAAATAATTGGATTACTAACTTACATTTTTAAAGTACTTATAATATTGTATAAAAAAGCTTTACAGGTTAAATAAAAAATGTTTATTTGATTGTCAGAGTATAGGATAATCAATTTCTAAAATAATATTTAGACTAACATTATGAAAACCAATTTTTGTACATTTAGAATGGAAGTTGGTTACAACTAAACTGTTTAGGTTAAATATAAAAGATTTTAAGGAAAAAAGAAGAAGAAATATTCAAAGAAGTGTAAAAAACTGCAAGCTAGTAAAAGAAAAAAAAAGGCATTAAAATTTTTAGAAAATCAAACAGTTGATTCATGTATTAGAAAAGATGCAGGTTTCTTTACCTGCCATCAGAGTGCTGCGTATTTTTGTTTGGGTTTTAAGCAAAGCGGAGCGTGCAGCCTGACCAGGTGTGAACAAACCTGCAGGTCCACTTGGTTTTTCTGTGCTTGGGCAGGAAGCTGCTCGCAGACTCAGGGTCGCCCTCTGTAAGCCGACGGGAATGCCGCTCACCTGAGGTCTCTGCAAGCCAGAGGACGGCGGCAGCTTGGAGGCTGCAAATGGAGCAGAGGAACATTTTTGCACATTAGCCCCAAAAACATCTGTGTATTTTATTGGAAAGTTATGGACCGACACAACGTGGAATGTAATTGTAAAGGAGAATGAAGACAATAATTTCTATATTACGTTTTTAAATTGTAATCCTTAAGATGCAGTGCATATATATATTCAAAAAAAAAAAAACTAAAATATGGTGCAACTCTTACCTTCAGAGAGCCAGATTAGTAAAATAATTTAATTTCAAAGTCCTCTATGAAAAGTAGCAGCATTAATTGCAAGTTTGCTTTATTCCTTAAGTGCCTGGAGGATCTAATTTGCATCATACCTAAATTTACACTGATGTATCTGTCACAATGAGCAATTAATTAATTACTTGATAACTTAAGAGGAGCTTGCTAATTTCCATTCTGATACATATTTTCTGAAGGGTAATTTTGTTTGCACAGACATCATAATCCATTTTATTTAAGGTTTTGGTTGCGTGTTTGTTTTTTTTTTTTTATTTATCATTGTTTTTGATTATTGCATTTTATTTGTGGTATTTAAAATCTCTTTCAGCTCCAGTGTGATTTAGTCTTTGAGAGGGCGAATTTACACCATTTTACTTAAAAATGGTCTCACAATGACAATATTTTTGGCTTATCGCAATAATTTCTGGGTCAATTTATCATTCAGCAATTCTGTTAGGGCAATGACAGACCATTTTAGAAAACAATGTATTATAAATGCATAAGTATAGGGGGATAAAAGCAAATGCAAACCAGATGTGAATAAAATATTTCAATCTGCAGAAGGATTTCTGAGAAGAAGCATCACTGCTCACCTAAAGATCGCAGGTTGTACAAACTTGAGTTTTTCTGGAAAACAAAGGACCACAGACATATAAAGATACATCCATAAAGTTGAGTAAAGTTATCAAATCAAAAACAACAAAATTGTTTCATAAACTCAGCAGCGCCCAATGTTTTACCTCCTGGTCCTTTGGAGCAGCAGAACTTTTCGCAGCCTCGCCGTCTGGTCTCTGTCGTTTTACCAGCAGGCCTGTTGCCGCCGCTGGTGGATTACGTCTCAACAACTCAGAGGAAATTTTGGAGGAAGGGTTTTTAGCTGTGGGTTTCTTGAAGAATGTTTTACGATCACCAATGATGTTTGACGGTTTGATGGTGTTTGACGATTCAGTAGGTGTTTTCCCATAAAGTTTTTTCTGCGCTGCTAGGATCTGGCCTGGCTCTCTCTTTTTCTCAAAGCCGAACATTTTAATGCTCACCATTGGTGTAGAAGACGCCAAGCACTGAGGATACAAACTCTCATCAAAATCGGAAAGAGCTGATTGTGAAAGATATATGGATGCATTGGCTGGCGGTAGAGGGGCTTCAAATGTTATGTTTGGGCTTCCATCCTTCTTGGTTTCTGGTTCTGCAGCTTCAAATGTCATGTTTGGGCTTCCATCCTTCTTGGTTTCTAGTTCTGCAGCTTCAAATGTCATGTTTGGGCTTCCATCCTTCTTGGTTTCTAGTTCTGCAGCTTCAAATGTCATGTTTGGCCTTCCATCCTTCTTGGTTTCTGGTTCTGAGGCTTCAAATGTCATGTTTGGGCTTCCATCCTTCTTGGTTTCTGGTTCTGAGGCTTCAAATGTCATATTTGGGCTTCCATCCTTCTTGGTTTCTGGTTCTACAGCTTCATTTGTTTGGACTTTTGATGAGTTGTTTTCAGAACAGCCATCTTTAAGGGGAATTTTTAAATTCCCTGCTTTGGAAGTGGAGGAGCCGCCCAGGCTACTTTGATGATTGTCATTCGAGCTAATTTCTGCCAAAGTTATTGTGCCGTTTAGTTGTGAGGGAAGCTTATAATCAAATGTGCCGTTCTGCTGACCAAATGGAGCAGGAGTTTTCTCTACGGCGGAACCAATCTGGAGTTTAGATTTTTGAAGAGGATCTCCGTGAACAGTGGCATTCTGCCCTACGGCGAATGTGGTTTCCTTTTCATCTGAGCTGCTCTGATGTACAACAAAGGAAGCTCCAGTTTTAGAGTCGACAGAAGTTTGCTGATCTCCGCTTTCCTCGACATCTTTTGCCTTGCTTATGTTGGTTGGTGGAAAATCTAGAGTCTTGTTATTGACGATGGAAATGGTTTGCATAGAGGGCCGCTCAACTGCAAATGTACCGTTTGCAGACACATCTGGTTTCAGGGTTTGTTGTGACTCCTTGTTGGTTGACTCGGTGTCACAGCAGGTTGACAGCTCTTCAAGTTTTTCTTTGGGTTCAGATTCCAACTCCGGGAGGAATTTGTCCATGTCAGAAGACAAGTGTGCAGTCTGTACAGATGTGTCACAGCCGGGGGGTTTTTCTTGAGTAATATTAATAGCTTGAATACAGAGTGTGTCTGAACTCTGATATATCTCTAGTTTTTGTTCACCGGTCTCTGATTCTGGGCTCTCCTTTGTGACTATCTCAGCCTCTATGCAATCAGGGTTTCCTCTGGGTTCAAGGCAAACCTCATGGGTTGATTTTTGTATGCCAGAGGAAGAGATGTCAACACTGTTAGAGGCATCACAAGAGGAGCAGAGATCACGAGTAATATTAATAACTTGAGTGCCATCGCCTGGATTTTGAGATTTCTCCACCTTTTGTCCACCGGACTCAGATGAAGACTTGCTGTTTTCCAAAGTAACATCCTGAGTTACCTCCAAGGCTGCCTTAATTGAGTTTTGCTTTAAACTATGGGCAGAGTTTCCACTCGTGCAGGAGAGTTCCTCAGTTGTGATTGTGTCTGATTTCTCTTCCATAATTTGATCACTATGATCAGACGTAGCTCTGCCATCTTCCATGTCCATGAAGGACATGTGTCCGACTGGAGAGACCCGAGTAACTTCAAGGAGACTAATGTCTTGTAAATAGTCATTAAAAATCCCTCGGAATGAAAGATCCCTATGAAAAGATTCATCCACCTTTGCACAAAAGCTATTTTTATGATCTGAAGTGTTTGTCTTTTTGCTATAAAGCTGAGGAGATGCAGGTTGTCTTTCAGGGAAGACTGAATCATTCATTGTTAGGTGCATAACGGAATCTGAGGTAAGATCGGCCAGAGTAACTTCTGGCAAGCATTCATCATTGATCATAGAAAAATCCCCGCCATTCTTTTGTGTCCTTGAGTCTCTGGTTGATTTTTGACAGTTTGCAGCATGAAAACTTGAAGGAACAGCAGGATTAGGACTGTTTCGAAGTTTAAAAGGCTCTGGAGATGCACTTTTATTCCAGATATTTAGGTGATTTAAGACTGGGGTTAGAGCAGACTGAACACCTGGTACCAAAGACTTTACCTGGAAATCACTGGTTTTATTCTTCAAAGCAGGAGTGGAAGAGACAAAAGCATTCGCACCATCTTCCTCCAACTGGAAGGTAAAATTCTCAGCGTTTTCCAGCTTTGATGAGTCAACAGCTTTAAGATCCCTCGGTGGAAAATTTTCACGGCATTCATCAGCCTGTGGATCCACTGTGATGTATGAGGCTTGAGTTGTTGTGGTATTAGCCATGAGAGAGTAACTCCTTTGTTTTGCTTTGAGGAAAACTGAAACAGGACTTTCCTCTTCTCAAAAAACAAAGAACAATACTAGAGAGGCTTTAAGCACATTTTCTTTCTCAATCTTAAAGCAGGCTCTCTGTGGAAGAAAAGAAAATCCCAAAAAACACATCAATTTCATTCCCAATTTCTAACAAACGTATAATCCCACCATTCCACAAGTTTAATAAATAAAAAAAAAAATAGAGTTTGGTGTTTGTTAATACAATTAGATCTAATGCTGCTTCATTTTCTTTGTATTTTAACCTGTTAGTTTGCATACTTTTACAATCAAAGACCACTGACGTTTCTACAGAATAAAATCTGAATTATTTGCCAAAAACATAGATTTTTATTTCAGACGCCTTTCATTCAAATTCATCTGGCTAATACAATATTTGGCCACACTGATTGATTTCCACTGACTTTATGTCAGCGAACTTAAGAAGCAAATTCCTGAGTTAGGGAGCGAGAGAGCAGAATACGGACTAGTTTAAATTAATATTGACATTATTGTTCCCTAATATTTTTGAGCAAACTAAATTCAGATTATTCATAGAAAAGTGGCTGAGATACTCATCTTAGCCACACAAAATAAATAAGTGTTGTTGGAAATGTTACTATCAGATTTTCGACCATCAGTGGAAAAAGCCAGTGAGTTTAACCACCTGAAGGGTCAAATGGGTGTGGCATGAATACACAACTTTGGGTGTTTAAAAGTTGTGACTAAACCAGCTTATCCACATTCATTGTATTGAAACTGTCCTCAATACATGTGGTCTCAAAACTCGGGTAAAAAAGAGAAGAAAACAATAGATACCAACTTTGTCTGTCCTATAGTAAAATATGTAAATAAACATGGAGAAAACATTTCACACCCTTTCTAAAAATAGTAAAGAAGAAAATATATTACGTATCACTTAATATCATCACTTGCACGTGTTCATTTGGTAAAAATGTGGTGTGACAAAAAGTGCAGTTATTACCTAAATAAAGAGAATCAGTAGCAGACCGACACTAACACTACATACTAATACAGTTTTAAACTGATGACCAGATTGAGCTGTTCACCTCTCCCTTACTCCAGTCAGTAAACTTAATGGACACGGACTCAAACCGCAAATAAGTTTATAAACGTATTACTGCTTAACTGTTGCTAAAACAGTGAAAAGTAACTGAACGTACACATCTAGGCTGTTGCTAACTGTGGCAATTTCAACAGAAAATTCGCCTGAGAAAACTTACCTTGGAGAAGACAAGTGTATTTTGTGTTTCAGAAGGTATTTTAAAAGATCTTTAGTTTTAGTTCAAAAGCATAAACTTTAAACCAGCGTGATTTCGGACAGAATGCCAAAATCCGTAAAAAAAATAAGTGTTGCAACGCCAGTCTAGTTTGAAAGTGTCGGTTTCCTCATTGGATAATAATACCAGCCAATCACAGCGCGATGCTTCTTCTTCGTGGCTCTTATAAGAGCACTTTATCGCCATCTACCGTTGGAAAAGAGGAGCTTAGAAAATAACCGACAAATTGTTTTTGTAACAGTATTTTTGATGTATTAAAAATACATATATAAAACATTCGTCGCTAACCTTGATAAATGACGACATAAAAATGACCAAAGAGAAACTAATAAATATATAAAAGAGTGAATTCTGAACAAGCTCGTCGTTTCAGGTCAACGGCGCAGCCATATTGTGAGTGGCATTTTGTTGTAAAACAACAAGAGTAAAGCAGTGTCAAGACTTTACTCAAGCAAGAGTAGCACTACTTTAACATATTTTAACTTAGTACGTTTTGCTTTTACACAGTAAAAGTAAAATGTATAAATTTAAAAAAATATTCAAGTAAGAGTTAATACGTTTTTGGTAAAAAGTCTGCTCAAGTGAAGCGACATTAATTCTGATTCACATAACAGTTTGTACAATAACATCATCAGACAGACAAAAAAATGTAAAGTTATGTTTGTCTCACTTTCACGTAAACTATAGGTGAGTCTCTGGTTCAATTATGGCTAAACCTGCTTTTTCTTCATTCAGTAAAATTATTCACAGTAAGTTGAGCATCGAGAAATGTAACTTAAGTAAGCGTTGTGATACTTCATAATATTACTCGAGAAAAAGTAAAAAGCACAGTGTAGTAAAACTACTCCTAAAATGATTTTTTCCTTGAACAATTTTGTTTCAAGAATTAATAAAAATTGTATTTATTTATCTATCTTTGTTATTTCTTTTTCTGTTACTACTACTACAGTTAAGTTATAATAATAATAATCATAATAATAATAATCATAATGGTTAATCCTCTCTTAATTAAGGTGTTTGTTAGACCAGCAGAGGATGACCAGATAGTGCCATCATGGCCTCGTGTGACTAACTGTTTGCATGAAAGACACAACAGCTCTATGTTTGGTTTTGCTTTATTATAAATGCTAAATACCAAAAAACGTATGTAGCATGAAAATCTCATCAATGCTTTTAGGTTGATAAAAGACAAAAACAGAGCAATATTTATAATATGTTGAACTATTCACAGAAAGCATTCAGAATATTGTTTTCACTCTTTGGGAGTTTTCTTCAGCTTGCTTTTGAGTTCAGACATGAGTGGATTTCCAAATCTGTGGAGACATTAAAAAAGAAACAAAATTCATGATCTTTTGCTGAAAACAACAAAATTTAGGTGTGGGAACATTTTGTTGCTTTGGTTTTACCCCGGTTGCCCGGGTGGCATCCATTTGGGTCTCTTTGGTGCTTCATCCTTTTTGGCAGCATCACTCTTCTCTTCCTCTTCCTCTTTCTTTTTCTCCTCAGATTCCTTTAGATTTAGAGTAAAATCACATTAGCTTTTCCTGACACAAAGATAAATAGCGATGGATGGATTAATGTAGGGCTGAAGTGATAAATCTGATTAATCAATCGCAGAAATAATTGTCAACGAACTGATTAATTAGTTAATCACTAATGGGAATATACAGACTCTAAGGAAGATAATTTGTTGAGATGACAACAGTCAGATCAGTAATTAATACAGAACTGTACAAGAATATATGCATGTTACATGCAAGTCCCCAAAATACCATACACTGAAGAAATTATGATTTAATCTTACTTTTTTCTCAAAATCTTAATTTTATTCTCAGAATTCTGACTTTAATGTTGAAATATATATTTTTTATTTTAATACCTAATAGAATAATTAGTATTGTTAATAACGCATTAAAAAGACTGAAGTGGTTAAATGTAAAATCTGCAATTTTTAATCTGATTAGCTGTCAGAATAATCGATTAAAGAATCATTAGATTAATGCAATACCTGTGATTGTGTTTCTGGGCCATCTTCGTGTCTTGGGGGCCGTTGTGTTTTCTTTAAAATAGGAAAACCTGCTCCAATCCCTAAATTCAAACATAAATACTTAAATAATTTTTAAAAAATATGAGAAAAGGGACTGATGTGCTGCAGAGAATCAAACCTACCAGGCAGTTTGATCCCAATCCCCAGGCCGCCTAAAGGCACACCCACAGGAACTTTACCAGGCACCGGCAGGGAGGGAGTTGGAGCCGCAGACGGCTTATGGATTAAGGAGCGGGGGTCTGTTGGGGGTCGAGCACGAGGGTTTTTCACCGCAATGCGAGACTTTTGCACTGCAAAATCAAGCATGGCGGCATCAACCTGCAAATAAAAAAAAATCATCTCATTCTATAGCTTATCTGCACACTGTAAAAACACAAAAACTTACCAAGTATTTTTGGTTTGTGTTCTAGTGCAAATATCTAAGCACACTTGAATTAAGACAAAGTCAACTGATAATTAATTTCTCAGCAACATAAGGCAGCTTGATTTAAGTCAATAATTCCTTAGAATTGATTTTAAAAAGTTCTAGTTCCACTGAGAGATTATTTCACTTATAAAATGGGTAAAATGTCTTCTAATAAGTGAAAAAATTAGAATCAATATTAAGAAATCATTGGCTCAAAACAAGCTCCTGTGCCTTGCTAAAAAGGTTTATCTTAATTCAAATGTACGAAGATGTTTGCACCAGAAACTAGACCAAAACGACTTGGTAAAACTCTGAGCTTTTGCAGTGCACTTCAGAGAACTGATGTTGTTTCGGTTTGTCTGAAAAAATACCTCAGTCCAATCTTCTTCCAGCTCAGTCCTGCTTGGGGCTGGAAATGATTCGCTGAGATCTTCTGAAGATTTTTCCTCTGGTGCAATCAGGGAGAAATTCCTTTCCTCAGGTTCATCCTGAGGTTCACCTCCAGAAGGCGATTCAGTCAAACCACTTTCCTCCTCTACCAGAAGGGAGCGCTGCATTTCATTGGAGATGTCGGACTCTGCTGCTTCTGTCAGTGACGTAACATCTGCTTCTTCATCGTCTCCATTCACTGCCTTTGTCTCTGGTTTAGTTTCATCTTGCTTCTCTTCAGCTGTGCCTCCTTCCTGGTTCGGATGTTTTGGTTCTGCTGACGAAACTCCTGAATCGGGGAAGGATCCGATCTCACCGGACCCTTCCTCTGCTGTCGGGTAAGGCTGAAGAGTTTCAACCATTTCTTCGATCAATGCAGATTCAGAGATAGACGTAGAAACTTCACAGATGTTTTCTGAATGGTCATTTTGGTCTGGAAGTAATCCGGAGTCTCGTGATTTAATTATCTGAGTCTCACTGAAGGTCTGGTCCAAAAACCCAGAGTCCAGTGTGGTCAAGGAACTTTCTGTTTCTTCTGAAATTGCCTCCATTCCTCCCTCTTTCTTCTCCTCTGACGATGTTTCGCCTGTTTCCTCTTGATCTTGGTCTTCTTTCATCCCATCGGTGTCCGTTGACATCACTGTCTCAATCCACAAATCAAGGATTTCTTCATCGATCCCATCTTGATGCTCTTCAGCTGGATCTTCTGAGCGTTTCTCCGTTTGTTGCAGATCATTTGTAATTTCACCAAGGGTCGTTTTAGATTCAACAGCTGTTTCTGTCGGAGTCTGACGTTGAGATAAGGCTGATTGTCCTGTGATCAGATCAGATTCTGTCCCCACTAAGTCAAGAGTCGTGATCTCATTTAAATCCAGGACTTCGTGCTCTAGCTCACCTTTGTCAACGTACTCTTGTTCTTCAGTGTCAAACCTCGGCTGCAGAAGTTTAATGGCACTTTCATCAAATAATTTAGGTTTGATCTCAAGGTCATCCTCCAATCGAAAAGCTTGAACAAGTTCTGGACCAAGACTTGTCTGTGTCATCTTCCCTTCTTCACTCTTGGGGGATTCAGGAGTTTCATCTGCAGAATCGACTCCTTCATCAGCTGCTACAGTGTCTCTTTTCTCACAGACGTCGTGGGGCGGCCTGTTTGTTTTCCGTTCAACTGTTTCGGCCTCATCCTCCAGTTCAGTCTCAAATTCTTCATCTGATTGTTTGATCTCTGTTTTCATTTTAGTATCCAGCAAGTCGACTTTTTCTTCCTCTGAAAAATGATCTAATTCCAGATTTACGTTGTCGCTTGTTGGCTTCTCTGTATCTTCTGCAAATTGAAGCGATCCAACCTGCAACTCCTTCTTGCTTTCCTCTGTGCTACCGTCTCTTATCAGTAAATATTCACCTCCTCCTGCTTCGCTGCTTTTAAAGACCTCCACCTCTTCTGGTAAGTGAATGGGCTGTATTTCCTCCGAATTTCCACCCTCGAAGAACCTTTGTGTGGTATTTTCATCTGACTCGAGTTCATTGTTGTGTTCAGGAACTGCCTCTGGAGTTTCCTCGCACGCCTTGGTGTTGAGCTCGTGAGACACGCCAGCCTGGCCTTCAATTACCCCCGAGGGAATATCGCTGAAGCCAATGTTTATTTCCCGTTCAGACTCGCCTCCAGCTTTTACAGTAACTGGAGCGGTTGTGCAAACGCTTTTCATGCAGAGCTCTTTGTCGGAAAGCCTCTCCTCAACATCTGATGTTTCCTCCACGGTAATTTCTTCCACTGTGGCAGTTTGCACACTGGTGACGTCGTCCTCTTTAAATGTAAACTCAGATTTTTCCTCTTCAGTTGTCCTTCTGCTCTTGTCTTCTTCCAACTCTTCATCTGCTGTCTGATTTAGATCTTCATCTTCAAAAGCAGTAATCTGGACATTGATAATATCGGTTAGCTCATCTTTGCAGACAGGGAGAAGAGTTTCTGCTTTAGATTTTTCATCTGAGAAGTTCAGCTGTGACGCGTCTTCACTGAGGTTTGCATCTTCCAGCGTTGCTGCAGAAGCTTTATTGTCCTTTTCTTCTTCTGTCTTTTCATTGCCGCCCTCTTCCTCCTGTGTTGGGGTGCATTCTTGCATCTTGCTTTCCTCCTCAGAGTCTTCTTCAGCTCCTTCTTCATCCTCTTCCACAATGTCCGCCAAGGTTTCCAACACTGTCCAACGGTCATCCAATCTCACATGCTCCTCTTCTTCACTTGATTCAGTGCCGTCTGTCACCCCCTCCTTTAACTGTACATGTCCAGATCCCACAGTTGCTTCCTCTTTGTCATTTCCAGATGCCTCACTCTTTTCCTCAAAGTCTTTTTCATTTTCCTCTTCATCATCTTCTTGGACTTCACTGCACTCTTCCTCCAAGTCTTCTTTGGCTTCATCAACGGATAGTTCATGGTCTGTTTGGTCAAACTGTTCTTCCCCTGTGTCTTGATCATCCTCACTGCTTGTGGCACTTCGGGTTGAAATATTTTCCTCTTCTCTGACATCTTCAACTGCTCTGCTGCCCTTGTCCTGCTCTGTCTCTTCACATGTGACAGACTCTTCCTCCTCAACGCTCTCATCCTCAACCACACCAGACGACTCTTTGCAAACAAGGTGTTGAGTTTCCACTTGTTCTCTTCTCTCTGCTGAGTTTTCATTTTCAGATTCCAGCTGTGATGCATCTTCACAGATGTTAGCATCTCCTAGCATCACTGCACCCGCCTCGCCTTCCTGTTGCTCTTCTCTCTCTTCTTTTACGTGTTGTTTTAAGACAAAGTCTTCATCTTGATGATCTTCCTGTCTTTCACCTCTCTCTTTCCAAAAGTCTTCTTTATTTTCAACCCTTTCTATTTCTTCACAAGTGTGCAAGTTTTGGATCTCGGTTTTTTCTAGTTCAAGTTGGCGTATTGGCATGTCTTCAGTGATCAGCTGATCTCCAGAGTCGTTTCCTGTTTGGCTGAACTGTCCCTCTTCTGTCCTCTGATCAATCTCGTTGCTTGTGACACTTTGGGTGGAAACATTTTCCTCTTCATTTGTCCTTCTGCTCTTATCTTGTTCTAACTCTTCTGTTGTCTGTTGGTTTGCAGCTGTATTCTCACCCTCCCTCTGTTCTCCATCAGCGGTAAACTGCTCTGCCTCACTTTCTTCCTCAAACTCTTCATTGTTTCCTCTGTCATCCGTCTGGATCTCATTTCTCTCTTCCTCCAACTCTTCTTCACCTTCATCCACCTCGTCTGCTCTCTTTCTGCTCACAGACTCTTCCCCAACATGTCCATCACCTCTTTTTTCCAGCTCTTCATAATTTTCCTCATTGGCTGTATTTTTTTCTTTATTTTCAATCACTTCTGTTTCTGCAGATGCGTGCAACTTTTTCTCTAGTCCAAGTTGATGTTCAGTCACATGTTCATTGATCAGTGGTTCTGCAGAGTCGTTTTCTTTCAGGCTAAATTGTTCCTGATTGTCCTCGCTGCTTGTGACACTTTGGGCTAAAACATTTTCCTCTTGTTGGACATCTTCGTCTGCTCTGCTACTCTTCCTCTCTGCTGACTCTTTGTGTGTTGCAGACTCTTCCTCCTCAATCTTCTCACTTACTGCAACATTAGACAACTCTTTGCAGACAAGATGGAGAGTTTCTACTTGTTGCATTCTCTCTTCTGGGTTTTCATTTTCAGATTTGTGATGCTGTGATGCGTCTTCACAGATGTTAGCATCTCCTAGCATCTCTGCTGCAGCCTCACATTCCCTCTGATTTCCTCGCGGCTCCTTTGTGTTGTGTTGTTTTACCTCACTTTCTTCTTTCAAGTCTTCTTTAGTTTCTTTACCTCTCTCTTCCTCCACGTCTTCTTTGTTTTCAACTCCGTCTGTTTCTGCAGATGTGTGCAACTTTTTCTCTAGTCCAAGTTGATGTTCAGTCATGTTTTCATTAATCAGTGGTTCTGCAGAGTCGTTTTCTTTGAGGTTAAATTGTTCCTGATCGTCCTCGCTGCTTGTGACACTTTGGGTTAAAACATTTTCCTCTTGTTGGACATCTTCGTCTGCTCTGCTACTCTTCCTCTCTGCTGACTCTTTGTGTGTTGCAGACTTATTATCCTCTTCCTCCTCAACTCTCTCATCTTCTGCAACACCTGACAACTCTTTGCAGACAAGCGTTTCCACTTGTTGCTTTTGCTCAGCTGAGTTTTCATTTTCAGCACAGAGATTCTTGCCTACTGCCAACTCATAATCAAGATCTGCTGATATTTCTTCCACCGTCACATCTTCCTCTGCAGTTTGCATCATGGTGACCAGCACTTCTTCTTCCCTAATTGTAAACTCGGTCGTGGCCGGCTCTGTTTTTTGCTCGTCTTTGCTGCTTGTGCCACTCTGAGGTGAAATATCTTCGGTCGTCCGTTCGCTCTTGACCTGTTCTGACTCTTCTGCTGTTGCAGTTTCTTCAAAGACTCTCATCTGAACGTTTTCATCCTCTGATAAACGTCTAAGCTGATTTTCTACATCTTCAGTTTTCTCATCTGAGAAGTTTTCATTACCAGAGGTCAGTTGTGATGCATCTACACCAATGTTTGCATCTCCTAGAATCGCTGCAGAACCTTTGTTGACCTTTTGACCTCCTGTCTTTTCATTGCTTTCCTCCCCTGAGTTTTCTTCAGCTTCTTCCTTGATGTCTGCCAAGGTTTCCACCACTTTCAGATGATCATGCAGTCTTATTTCTCTTGAATCCATGTCCTCAAACACTCCCTCCTTTACCCAGACATGTCCAGATCCACCAGTTGCACGCTGTCCATCGTTTTCAGGAGCCACACTTTCCTCACGAGTGTCACATTTCTCGATATCAGTTTTCTTTTGACTGCCTTGATGTGCCTTTGCACTTTCTGTCACTAGCTGCTGTGCAAAGTCATTTCCTGTTTGACCGAGCGGTTTTTCTACTAGGTCATGTTTGTTCTCATGATCTTCTTCTGTGGGCTTCAAGTCGATGTCTGCAGTGCTGCGCTCCCAGGCAACAACCGGTGAGGACAAGCTAACAAGAGAAACAAGCGAAAGAGACGCTTCCTCGCCGACTTCTACCCCACTGCCGTCATTGTCTTTTTGGCTGCCGTCTTCAGGCTCGCCGTCGACTCCAGGTTCTTCTGAGGACGTTGGGTCATTGTTGGAGCCTTCAGCTGGTTGTGGCCTCAGGAATCTGGTCACAGCTTCGGTTATGTAACACTGGAGAAGAGATGGGAAAGTGTTATTCATCTCAATGAGTGTGTTGTGCACAGAGAGACAGACATAAGAAGGCACTTAGTTCCACTTGTACACTAACAGTGCAAGAGGCTATTTATGCAATAGCATCCCTGCCGCTTTGCGGGCTCATTGTTAAAGGCCCTTTCCTGTTTTAAATCAACAATACCTCGACACACAAAGTAACGTTCATTAGTGGGTCGGAAGAAGTGGCCTTTGCTGATCACTGATTAAATAACAGATCTCACTTATGTAAGATTAAGGGAGTGTTATTATAATGCATGCATATTCCTGATACGTGCAAAACGTGACAACGTTTTACAGTACTGTGAAAAAGTAACGTCCAGGGATTTTTGTAAAGACTTTCTAAAGATCTGTGAAAGAAATGTTGTCTGTTAAACCACTTTGGTCTGACTTAAGGATCATTTATGCATCATGAGACTCTTTGCCAGATTTCACACCCGATAGACTCAATTTGATTGTCTAGTCGTGAATACAGCTAAGAAAAAACACAAAAAGTTAACATAAAGCTAATTTGAACTGGAGTTAGCAAGCTAAAAGAGAAAAGCTTCACCATTCTTAACTACAAACTACAATAAATGTCCTAATTCACATGTTTTTTATGTAATCATAAATGTAATCGATAACTTCAGAAGCAAGAAAAAAATCATTTCTGCATTTCAGTTGAAAACAAAAACATTTGGATTATTTTTTATGCCTTTTTGTTTAAAACTTCTTGAATAAATACCATTAAAGTGGTAAATTTTATTCAAAGTTATCATAATGTCAGAGTCATATACTAGACTCAGAAATATGATAATTCTGTTTAATTGGTAATAAAATGGCGTTTTAGCAAAAACAACTAGCAGCTGAAATATCATTTCAATATCTGAAGTCTTGTGTTCAGTGGCGCCACCAAGTGGAGGCGGGATGCAATTACCATGCCTGTAAACCAGATGCCCCGCCTCCAATCAGAGAGTCTGAGATGCATCATGTTTATGATATAATTCAGTAGAAAAGAAGGCGAGTGCATGATCCTCAGAAATATTTTAAGGCCTATTAATATCTTTTTTGTCCTTCATCCACCCACTGTTCTGTTTCAAACAGCCTCTGCAGAGTCATGATGAGAAATCAGGAACGAGATGAAATATTTTGGACATGACCCTGAGGCACACCTCGAGTTTTCAGCCATTTCATCCCAACATGCTTCACTTAGTCAATTATTTGACTTTAGAAACAAATATATTCACATAAATGTATGTATTTATACACGTTATAAGCTATTAATGAGTCCAGAGTTAAACTTTTGCTAAACAAAAAATATATTTTCTTGTTTTTCTTCTCTTTCTGACTGTATCAAGAGTTTTGTGTTGCGTATGGGAGCAAATTCCTGCCATGTGTTGAAAAAAAAAGAAGAAGAATTTGGACCTCTTACTAATAAGACATATATTTTATTAGAATTGGATAAGTTAATATCATGAGAAAGTATGTAAAAACTGTAGAATATGACATTATTAAATATGGATGTGACAAAATCCACAACTATTGAAACTCCATGGACTGACTCAAAACTTACTGTTGCCACAGTAACTGATTTTTATGAGTCCTGGATACAAAGGAGAAGAATTTTAGATTGAAGTGAGACATTAACTTATACACTTTTTCCCCATCATGGTGGCAGAAATGGGCTTCCATAGATTGTATCCCACCCTACTTTATTGCCATAGGCTACGGTTTTGTCACATTGCAGCATTACTTAAAGATACAGTATATAACTTTTATTCCAAAAGCTGTTTTTTTTTTTTACATATTTGTTAATATTAGACATATAATCTTCTCCACCTGCTCCATGAGCTGCTACCATTTGAAGAAATGCAGAGCTCCCGTTCAAAAACAACCAATCAGAGACAGGGGGAGGGGCTTAGTGTATTCCTGCTAAATGGCAGAGAAACAACTGGCCTGTACAGAAAAACCGTTTATCCAACATTGTTGGTGACTATGCTAACTAGCCTGACCATTGACAATATGCTATGCTAGCAGTGCTAAGCCCCGCCTCCAGGCTCTGATTGGTTGTTTCTTGTTAACATGAGCATAACAGGCTGTGGTGACATTTTCAATAAATATGGAAATATATAAATATACCTTTATATTTTATCATTATGTTTAAAAAGAGCAAATAATTGTAATAAATAGTACACACATAAAGTAGATAAAATAAACATGATGCAAGTTAAAGACTAAATATAGATGAATAGAGGAGATAGGAGCAGAAAACATCTGAACAGGAAGACACTATAAAAACATGAATTCTCAAGTTGCAACTTTAAACCTTAACATCAAACCTCTGCAAAGTTAACATGACTTTACATGCTCACCCAGACTGAGACCAGCGTCCTCTCCACCCGCTGAAACGGACCGTCGGGGTCCGGCTCCATCTTTGCGCCTCCTTCCTGGTTTAACTCTTGACCATTTGAAGCAGAGAAACGGAAAAGCGCAGTTGCATCAGAAAGTTGTTCGCAGAGGCTCCTGCGTTCTGCAAGTGGACTCCTGTCTCCTCTCCTGTCTCCTCTCCTGCCTCCTCTCCTGGCGCTGTGACCAGGAAGAGGCTGATCCAGCTGAGCGCCGCGTCGAGCCGATGCGCTGCAGTTTGCGGATGTAAACAGCGCTTCTTTTAACACACCAGACCACTAAAATGCATGTGATGAGTTGCTGAGCTGCAGTGAGAAATGCAGTTTTAAAATAACTTTGAGTAGGCCGATTCATGGTGGGGAAACTTAACCTGTGCATGAATTGAGCTGCATCCCCCCCCAGCGATGCATGCTTATTTATTTTTAACTTTTGCATGTTTAGGCTCAATAGCAGCATGGGAAGATGTTTGTAGAAGTCAGGAATTGGAGAAGTTCCTCAAAGTGATAAATTTAGATTGCACAGGCTTTATCAGCGGCAGTTCGACCTAAAGCACATTTACTTTGCTTCTACTTCTGTTACATGAAGAGAAGTGACAGAAACAGAAGTTAAAAATCTTATTTCATACACTGAGCTGGGAAAAGCTGGTGGCCCTTACAGATTTCTGCTGGTTTGGCTTCATTGTTGCTGCTTAATGTTTCAGAATTAGACAAAAAAAAAAAAAAAAAACACAACAACCTGAGTCAATTTAAAAATAAGTTTTCAAATTACACACAGCAAAAAACACAGCTCTGGCAGATTTTGTCACTTATATTGGGGAAAATGTCTCACTAGAAGAGAAATAATCTGTCTGTGTAATTACAATTTCATCAATATTAAGGCATTATTGCCTTGAAACAAGCTTCTGTCTTGCTGAAAACTTACTTGTAAGTTAGTTTTGTTTTACTTCAGGTTTATTAGTTGTTTACAGCAGAAACTAAACCAAAACTACTTGGTTCGATTTGTGCTTTTTGCAGTGTAATCTCATTGTGAAGAGAAGTTATTTAACCAACCTGGCGGTGACATCTTACATCACTGTGGAGGAAATTTGCTCATTTTCTTCCCTTAATTGCTTTCACTGAGGGATTTCTTAAATAAATGGCCTGTTTAAAGTCACACAGCCTTACCTCATTTGGATTTAGGTCTTTACTTTGACTAGGACACTCCAAAACCTTAATTTTCTTGTTTTAAGAAAGAGGCAGCGATACTGGTGTTTTTTTTTTTTCTCACTAGTTTTGAATTTTTGTGTCATAAAATGTTTCTTTTCTAGATTTTTTATCCTACTTCATGTTGTCAAACAGGTCCTATTGAAGTGATTTTCACATTTTTTTATTTACTCAGGTCATTTTTAACTGGTATCAAGACTTATTTGATGATAAGAAAGTGAAAACAGCTGAACAGCAGCATAACAGAGTCTGATAACATGAAACAGTAAAACATGTCTGGAGAAGAGCTGAAGAGAAAAGCTGTTAGTGATTTCTTTCTGCTTATGGCTGTGGCCGGCTGAGACCTCTGGTATCCTGTTTCCAGTAAACTGAGGCTGATTGCGTGATTATTTCTGCTGCATCTCTGCTCATTTGCTTGAGAAAGAGCTTTATTTTCCCTATTTCCAAAATTGAAACCTGAAATATTCTTAAAAAACTTGTTTATTTTTCCTTTCTTGTAACAAAAGGAATAAATTTGAAGCCTTTTCTTCAAATAACTGCCTGGTAGTGCACAGCAACACGTGGGGGAGGGGAGGTGTATTACTCAGTGTTTCATACAGACATAAAAAACTAAAACTAAAACAGAATTATGCTAAATATAACTGCTTTGAGCCCACTGCGTTTTATCCATTATCATTTTATTGCTGTTACTGTTTCATCTGTTTAAACTGCAACATAATCTTCTGCATTAAATCAATCAATTTTTGATTGATTGGATAAAAAGTGCAGCTAACATCTGAGCATCACTTCCTGTCTTTCTAACGAGCACTTAACAGTCAGAGTGCCCAGATTGAGGCCGAGCATTTTGCTCTACTGCAACTTTGTCTCCTTCTCTATTTAAACATACTGTATGTAAACATATTGAAAAAAACATTTTCATTAAAAGATATAATATAATATATTTGGCAAAAACGTTACAGTTTGTTGGTCATAATTAAATAGTAAAAGTAATGAAACAATAAAACATCCAAACCAACTTGTTTAGAAGTGGAACAAACTGAAGGGGTGAATATTTATGCTTTATCTCTACTTTATAGAAATTAGTTTGTTAAAGGGCTTTTCTTGTCAGAAAAGTGACATTTAGTTGATCACGATTGATATGTAAAAGCAATCTTTGGAGGTTTAAACGACTCTGGTTAAATCTTCAATGTGCCTTAATACCAGAAACCACTTCCTGTTTCTAGTCCACTGCCTCATGAGTTATTGCTTCATGGCTTTCGAAAGTACAGCTTACACCAAAATGTTGTAATACAGAATTTATAAACACAGTCCTGCAGAACTGAGTGGCATTTATTAAAATAGTGCAAAAAGTGATTAATGTGACTTAGATTTGTAAATAAGGACGCCACATCTCTGCAGCACCGAGACACACAGTACTGAGCAGTTCCTGTGGTCAGAGCATTAAAAAAACAGAAGTACATTTTGAAACAAGAACTAATCTTGGCAGGTAATCATAACGGCTCCGACTTTAAACACCAGAAACGACAAAACACAGGATTTAGTTTTTATTTTATTGTCAGCTTATTCATACAAAAATAGGAACTTTTGTGGGAAAAACAAATAAAGTTTAGAGTGAAAGACAAAAGACTAGAGATATAAATAGACCCTCGTCTAACAGCGGAAACATGTGAGATGCAGCCGAATGTTGTAATTTTTGTTAAGCTTTAGGGATAAATGCACCACATTAGATAGATTAGAAGGGACGTGAAATAAGGAAGCAAAGTTGTGGATCTTCTTCATGCGGAGGATGAAATTTCCTCATTGGGCTCTGAAAGAGAAAAACACTCAGATGAGCAAACTTCCTGTTGAGTGTGGGAGTTTCTTTCCTAACTGGTCAATATTTTATCTAAGAAGCAACATTTCTTCATTTGAGAAACGTTTATCTGTTAGAGGAAAAGTTTCACGTTATTATGGTTTAATGTTTAAAAGTGGAGTTAAAATGAATAAAATTTTGCTTCATTGTAATGGTTCAGCCACAGCAAAAACACAAAATCTTAATCCAACTACTTTTGGTGTAGTTTCTAGTGCAAATATCTTAATACAATTGAAATAAGACAAAACTGACCTAAAACTCACTTTTCAGCAAGATAAAGAAGTTTGTTTTCAGTCAATAATTGGGCCTCTGTCTCTTTAAGAACTGCTGCTCTTTCTGAAGCTCCGCCTTCAGGAACTCCTCTGTTAACCCTTTAAATGCTTTCACCAGAGAAATACCACAACAGATGAGCAGCTCCACCTGGTGTTTGCTAATTGCTGCCGGCTAGTCTGAAGGAGCTAAGTGGGGGAGGAGCTACGCCTCGAAGGCGGAGCTAGGTCCACCCAGGCGTTTTGAACAGCCTGGGTGGACTAGGGGAAAAATCAAGGCAACACTCCAGGAATGTTTTTGATGAGAGAATAATATCATAATATGACGTAAAACTGAAAAAAGTAATTTTTACTGCCCCTTTAAATGAGAAGCATTTACTGAGGGTCTCACCTGTCCACGTCCGATAAACAGGAATCCTGAGTGCCGGGTGTGTGATCTCCACACACACTCTCAAACGTTCCCTCTCGCCGTCTTTCAGACCCGTCCTCAGGTTGACTTTGTTGATGTGAAGCGCGGTGGCGGCGGCGCCCTCCATTTCCTCATTGCTGTCCCGTTTGTCCTCCTCCGACTCGGATATCGTCTCCTTGTACCCGTCCTTCTCTCTGTCCAGCGTCTCATCTATGTATTCTATGCCTTCAGCGTCGGGGTCAGTGACCGCCGTTTTTGTTTCTGGAAGAGGAAGGAATTACATCCCAGAAGGGATTTAAATCTTAATCTATTGATTATTCATCAGATCAAAAATTAGCACATACTACAGATTTTGTTGTTTAACCCCTTTTTTCATATTTAATATTAGAAAAACATTAAAAAATGCAAATAAACAAATAACTCAATTCCTTTTTCTAAATAATAAATTAAATATTTATTATGCAAAATGCGATAATATCGTAAATTTGAATGGAGTGAAGCTGCAACTTGGTCACTTCAGGAGGTGAAACATGTTTGTGGCCAAATGTGTAAAAGTTCAAGGGTCATATAGACTTTTCCTAACATATATTTTTAATAAACGTAGAACCACTTCAACATATTTTTACTCAAGTCAGAGTAAAAAGTAGCCGTACAAGAAATTACTCAAGAGGAAAAAAGTATTTGGCAAAATGCGACTCAGTTACTGAGTAACTGATCAAAACATCAATTATTTCATATTTTAAAATTACATAATCAGATGGACCACAAAATAAAATTATGTTGAACTTTTGATATCTTAAAGGTCAAAAAGGAAAGAGCCCTTTATTTTACACTGCACTATAGAGAATAACTGTACATTTATGAAAATATGCTGTATTTGCAATATTGCTGAATTACTTTATTATAGAAAGTGGTCTGTATTTATGTACTTGCAATAATGATTTATGATGCGAGTCATTATTTGTCAATGGGGAATTAGAATCCAAATAAACAAACAGGATGAAAATTATATTCATAATAACACAATTAAAGTTTCATAAGTTATAAACCTTATGAAAACTGCAGGTTTATGTTTGGTGAATGTTTTACACAGTGGGTCGAATATCCAGAAATTTCACAGAAGAGTCTCGAGCAAAATCACTCTGATGAAAATAAGCAGGTAAGCTTTTTTATGAGTATAAAAAAATAATCAAATCCTGAAATATTAGCCCAAGTCTTCCCAAAAGTGATCCAGGCAAAAATAAAATAACTAAATAAATAAAAAAATAAAAACATTCACTTATTGCGCGGCCATTGTTGAGTCGCTCCGGTCTGTCCGGGGTTCTGGGCGGGTTCGCGGACCTCTCCAGGGCGCAGACGCTTCTCAGCTCTCTCTGTCCGTCGTCTCCGATCTCCTCCGACTCGCTGGACACCAGCGGAGAGAAGGTGGGACCCCCCGCCGCCCAGAGC